AGTTGTATGTTTCATAAAACTAATTTTTAAAAACAGTATGTTCTGGGACTGGAGAGATGGCTCAGTGATTAAAAGCACTGGCTGCTTTTCCAGGACCCTGGTTCAACTCCCAGCCACCCACTTGGTGGCTCACAACTGTTTCTAAGGTCTAGGGGATCTGATGCTCTCCTCTGGCCTCCACAGACACACATGCAAGCAAAACACCCATACATATGAAACTAGAATAAATAAATAGAGATAGTATGTTCCAGTCAGGTATGGTGGTGCACGCCCTTAATCCCAGCACTCTGGAGGCAGAGGCAGGCAGATTCTGTAAGTTCAAGGTCAGCCTGGTCTATATAGTGAGTCCCAGTATAGCCAGGCTACACTGTGAGATCCTGTCCAAATGTCTTAAAAAGTCAGCTAGAAAGAGGGGGAAAGAGACTGTGGGAAGAGGATGTACTATGGTCATTATTCTCCTTAGCATCTCAACAGCGGGGAAACCTCAACACACGGCTACGGAAGCTAGATGAGCTGCAGGAGTTCAGTGCCATTATCCTGGCTGTGGCTGGCCTACAGCGCATGGGCTGGCAGAACCGGGTGGGGCAGGTAGGGGCTTCTCCATTCCATTTCCATTTTAATATGCCTCTCTCTCCTGCTATCTTTATGACCATTCTGCCAATAACGCTACAAGCCAAGAAGTAAGCCCAGGCTGGGGAGAGTTCATCCCCCTGGCTTCCCAATTGGCAAACCTTAGCTCACTGCTTTGGGACAGCCCACCATTCTTTCTGTTCTGTCTTGCCTCCACAGATCTTGCACCCAGAGGAATGTATGTATGCTGTGGGTCAGGTAAGTTTGCCTGGAGAGGGCTTTCTTCATGTGCCCCTTCAAGAACCTGGGTTCAGTGCCATTGTGCTTTGGCATGTACTTCTGATCAAATAAAATATTCAGGGAGGGGCAGGCTTTGGCAAGCAGAAGACTCTGGGAAGCAAGTAGGAGTGGTTCCCATGTTCAGCCATGACTGGAGAAAGATTAGGCCTGTTTTTCCTTTAGGGAGCCCTAGCAGTGGAAGTCCGAGCCAAGGACCAGGATATCTTGGATCTAGTGAGTGTGTTGCATGATCCTGAGACTGTGCTTCGCTGCATTGCTGAACGGGCCTTTCTGAGGCACCTGGTAAGACTTGGGCTCCTCCTATGGTGGTGTGAGGAGGACCTGGAATCAGGAAGGGCAGCAGGGAGATGTAGTGGTAGCTCAAAAGTTGGGGAATTGTTTTCTAAGTGTGGACCTTGGTCTGGTCCTAGCAGCCTTTTCAGTTAATATCCTTAGAGGTTTGTGGTCAAAAAGCAGTATTAAAGGCCCTTAGAGCTCAAAGGACTGTCATTGCAGGAAGGAGGCTGCAGTGTCCCAGTAGCAGTACATACCATGATGAGCGATGGGCAGGTAAGCAGCAGAGATGGATGAGGGAAGGGAGGCACTGTGCCAGTTCTGTGTGTGCCCAAACATGTAAGCAACTTTTCCTGAATATGCCGGTACAACCCATTTTGTGTCCTAGCTGTACCTGACTGGAGGAGTGTGGAGCCTAGACGGCTCAGATAGCATGCAAGAGACCATGCAGACTACCATCCAGGTCCCTGTGCAGGTACTGACTGGGAGATGAGGGAGGAATAAACAGAAGTATCATCTTCCCTCTCACCAAATTGTAACTCTTGTGTCATGCAGCATGAAGATGGTCCAGAGGACGACCCCCAACTAGTTGGAATCACTGCCCGGAACATTCCAAGAGGAGCCCAGCTAGCTGCTGAAAACCTGGGCATCAGCCTGGCCAGCTTGTTGCTTAACAAAGGAGCCAAGAATATCCTGGATGTTGCACGGCAGCTTAATGATGTGCACTAACTGGTCTATAGGTTACGGGAACCTGGCTGCCACTTTCTAGTGCCCACATCTGGCTTTCAAGTGCTCTGTGCTCCCTAACTTGGAGAGGGTGACTAGCCCAGGAGATTGAACCACAGGGTGTTGAGACTTCCAGAGACACGAATCACCTTGGGGCCTTGATGACTGCGCCTTTCCTCCTCAGTAGTTAGGGCTTCATCTCTTTAGAAAAAGTCAGTGCCAATCTCGAATGTAACCAATGCCACTAATATTAAACCAGCTCTCAATGTGGTTGTTTTGGTGGAATTGGGGAAAATATAAATAAACCCAAAGCCCTTTTAAACCTGAATTCTGAGTCTGGGACTTCTCTGTTGAAATACTTTCTAATTGCCTCATGTTCTCAGAATGCATCCCAGGAAGCACCGAGCAAAGAGAAAACTGCCTCAATTCCTACAGCCTGCCTGTTTTCAGTTAACAGAACCTACTTGTATTACAGTCTTGCCCATTCCCACTGCTCTAAGGGAACTTACAATTCCACTCCCACCTCCCAACACAACACATGCCAGGTACATGGCTCTACCACGGAGCTATATAACCCCAACCCCGGGCCTACAGCAATTCGAAATTAATCAAGACACTCCATCTTTTAAAAAAACAGAACAACCATTTAATAAAATTAGCCCATTGAAACTCCCCACTACCTAAGGTTCTAAACTTGGGATAGATGCAAAATTCCAGTTCAGAAGCCAGTAGAGGCTCAGTCCAGATAGGGATTCACCGACTTGTGCTGGTATCTAGGTGTTTGGGTTGTGAATTGAGTCGCTGGGAAGAAAAGGGGATAGCTAGGCCCGGCTGCCAGTCTCCTGCGGCAAGAACACAGCTCTTCTGTCCACAGGCCTGTAAGCTTCTCCCAAACCCTTTCCAGGAGGCATCCTGGAGAAAACCAGCTCATATTACAGTGATTTTGTCCCGGCCACACCACACACCGGCCGATGAACGAAGATGGGGTAAACTGGTATGAGGCCAACGAAGGGGAAAACACAGGACCAAACAATATGATCCATTTCTCTTCACCAAAGCCTGGTAATCAAGTCACTTCTGGAAGGTCCAGGCGAGGGCTAAAGCACCAAGCTGAAGAAAGGACGCCCGGGTTGCAGCTGCAGAGTAACTCACCTTCAGGCCCACCTCAGCCGTACGTCACAGCAAAAGGCCGACACTTCTGGAAGGTGTCGCAACCTCTCCGCGCGGCCCATCGAGACGGAGACCGGCGAAGCTCCGCGATGGATAAGTACCGCGGCGCCTGACCCGGAGGCCGTGCAGGGAAGGGGAGGCAGAAACGCGCGATGGCAGAGAAAGGGGAAGAGAATGGGAACGCGGCGGCCCGGCCCGCAGCCCTAAGTGGCTCAGCTCTTTCCGTGAGGGAGGTGGTGGCCCTTAAAAGGGCCTTTGTGGAGGTGTGGGGAGGGCTGGGCGGCCAGGGCGCGGGCTCCCTCAGTACTCCTGAGAGGCCTGGGTGGCCTTCTTGCCGCTCGCCGGCGCCTTGGGCCCCACGGTGGCGCTCGTCTTCTTGGGCAGCAGCACGGCCTGGATGTTGGGCAGGACGCCGCCCTGAGCGATCGTCACGCCGCCCAGAAGCTTGTTGAGCTCCTCGTCGTTGCGGATGGCCAGCTGCAGGTGGCGCGGGATGATGCGCGTCTTCTTGTTGTCCCGCGCCGCGTTGCCCGCCAGCTCCAGAATCTCAGCGGTGAGGTACTCGAGCACGGCCGCCAAGTACACCGGGGCGCCGGCTCCCACGCGCTCGGCATAGTGGCCTTTCCTCAGCAGCCGATGCACGCGGCCTACCGGGAATTGTAGACCGGCGCGCGAGGAGCGCGATTTCGCCTTGGCGCGGGCCTTGCCTCCGGTTTTACCGCGACCCGACATCGTATACGAGGTAGAAAGCAGAGAGCAACACCGACGACGAAAGAAAACTGCCAACCGCCGCAGTCAACTGTCGCCGCGCGCGGGCGAGCTCGCCCTTATAAACTCCATGGACACGCCCCCGCCTCCCCCTGATTGGCTCTTTTCCCCAGTACCGGCCTCTGGTTGGTTGGAATTAACCCTTCGGTGACGCGCCTAGGCGAAAAGAGCTCGCCCAGCGATTGGTCCAATTTGAAAACCTTTTACCCGGGGAAGAAAGCAAGGCGGAGTGGCCGCAAGCAGCAGGCTAATCATCCATGGAAGTGGCCAATCCTTATTAAGCGCGCGAAATTTAAACGCTACTGCGCGCCACCAGAACCGGAAGACTAGGAAGGTGGAGTCTGGAGGCGCATGACTGTCTCTGGGAAATCTGGGCCGGCCAAGGGTTTTAAAGTAAAAGGGTTAGCCGAGCGATAGTGGTGCACACCTTTAATTCAAGCACTCAGGAAGCGGAGGAAGGGGGAGCTCTGAGTTCAAGCTTAGCCTGGTAACAAAGCGAGTTCCAGGACAGCCAGGGTTACAAGGGGAAACCCTGTTTCGAAAAACATTTTAACAAAAGTTAAAAAGGGAAAGAGTTCTCCTTCCAGGTCAGGGGCACTCCCACGCCCTCCTCAAATTTGGCAAAGGGAGGGTTTAAAGGAGAAGAAATGAAACCTGAGAGTACAATCCTATGCCAGAAAACTGAGTGCTGTGATCCTTTGTGCTACGACAAGTTAGTATTTTAATATTTATTCAACATGTTCTGTCTGGTTTCAGTTCTGTCACTTCTTGCAGGAAGGGGTCTGATGGAACAGAGGTAGGTATCCTCTTGGAAAGGGTACCCACCCCAACCCTTCCAATCGATCCTAAAATGCCCATACGAAAGATAAATAGGGGATAGATGTATAGATTTATTCAGTGGTAGAGCACTTAACAAAGTTCAGTCCTCAGGCCGGATGTTGGTTGCACAAGCCTTGTATCCCAGCACTGGGAGACAGAGGCAGGTGGATCTCTGTGAGTTCGAGGCCAGCCTGGTCTCCAGAGCGAGTGCCAGGATAGGCTCCAAAGCTACACAGAGAAAAAAAAAAAAAAAAAAAAAAAAAAAAAAAAAAAAAAAAAAAGAGTTCAGTCCTCAAGTATCTCAAAGGCTAGAAAAAGAGGTTGAGGGAGAGAAGCAAGTAAAAGACAATCCTTTATTGTCACCATTTTGAGCACATGGCCCTGCCTCTGATCTTCCTAATCAGAACACTTAATTTTAAAGTCAAATGTGAGGTTACCTTGGAGTATAGGGCCCTAACTCTAGCACATAGCCCAGGTTCTCTCTCAAGGTCCAGCAAATGCAGGGCTCTGAAAGTTGAGCTGTATTTGCATAAGAGCTGCTACATCCCCCTTATGGTGCTGCAGATGGGACAGAAAGGGGAAGAGTAGCAAGCTGAAGAAAGCCAGGGGCAAAGTGCAACTAATGGACTTTAAAGTCCAATAAGGTCCAGGCCAATAATCATTACAGGTGATGGGAGAAGCTGAAAACAAAACTGAAAAAACCAACAGTTGGAGAGGCCTGGACCAGAAGGCAGTCTTGGACCAGACAGGTTGGTCCTGGGTGAGGTCCAACGGAGGCTATGGGCAGTCAGTCTTCAGGGAACTCAGACATCATAGAAGAGTCGGACAAGCTGGTATCGAATGGAGAAGGTGACAGCGCTGCTCAGGATCTAGAAGGAGAAATGGACTGGAATAAGAACCAAGGTGAACTTGAGATAAGAACACTTACATAATTTACCCCACCCTCAGTGTTACCTGCAAAAGCAGCAGGAGCAGTGTGAGGTTTCTCTCATGTATGGGCCCAAAGATTTTGAGTAGCAAGTTGATGAGGGTCATGTTGTTACATTCAGTGAAGGCACCATCCTCACTCTCGCCTCGGTGAACTGTCACTAGCTGGAGGCGCTCTGCTACCTGGAGGGGCCAGAGGTGAAGACAACTTCAGTTACACATTTCATCCACAGGGGATCTTCTTGATGTTTCCAAACTCCCCTCGGGTCTGAAAAGACCAGGGATTCCCTTTTCTCAAGTGAAGGATGGTGGCCTGGGGCCTTACCTCCTTGTTACCTTGTTACCTTTAAAATAAAGGTGCCCAAGAAAGAGAGGTTCTTGGTCTTGAACTTGGAATAGCTCATCTCCAGTTTGCCCGTCTTCGGATTGAGTCTGTAAAGGGAAGATGGTACCATGTGACTGAATCATCTTCCAACCTGCGGTTAGTAAGAGGACCGACACTTAGCACTGAGATTTGTTTCTGGCTCAGCTGCTTACATCTGGGTGAAGGGAACTGTTGTAAGCATCACACTTTATGTAAGTAAATGTGCTTCATAAACTAAAACGGACGACCCACATACAGTTACTCCTTCTTTTCCTCCACTTCCTCTTACATAGGAGATGGACTGGCTGGCTTTAGCTATCCCAAGTAAAAAGCTATAATGACCCTTTGGAGCCCCAGAGCGGCTACCTGGGTATGCGGTGTCGAGGGCAGGGGATGGCGTGAAGGAGCTGAGGCAGCGAGTAGAGGAAATTGAACACTTGTGGAATAAAGAAGAGTAGCATGGTCTTGCTGAAGTGTCCCAAGATTCCCACCACGGCAAAGGTCATGCCAGCAAAATAACAGAAGGTATCTCCCACAAACACCTGTGATGGGTACCTGTATGGGAGAGAGGATCTGAGCCCATGGCAAGAGTCATTACTGACCCTTCTTTCACATCAGACACACCAACAGGCTAGTCCTGACCCTGAGTTCTAAGGGAAAGGCTGTTCCAGAAACTCTGCAGGCCACCAGGCCCTAAAATCATCTACTCCTGAGGGTTCCATAGCATTTATTCCCAGCTATGGCAGGGTAGACAGCAATTCTAAAGTAACTACAAGGCTGGCTGTGTGGTTCAGTGATAAAAACAGTCACCTAGCATGTACAAGGTCATGAATTTGATCCCCAGCACTGTGTGTGTGTGTGTGTGTGTGTGTGTGTGTGTGTGTGTGTGTTAGGGGTGAGGGGTGGTATCTAATAGCACATGCCAGTAATCCCTGTTATAACAATTGAAGGCAGGAGGATTATAAATTCGAGTCCAGCCTTGACAACACAGTCACTTCAATGCCAACTTGAGTAACTTAAGTGAGATCCATCTCAAGAGGAAAAAAAGGGGGCCAGGAATATAGCTAAGTAGTAGAGTGCTTGCCTAGCATTTCAAAGACCCCAGATTCAATCCCCTGTACCATAAATACATGAATGTTCATGCTTACACACAAAACAACAGGAATGGCAAACCACTACCAATGGGAGACCCAGAGAATACCCAACAAAGGTATGCATGATTTTAGTCTCTTCATTAGAAGCTGGGTTATGTCCAGACCATCTCTCCCACATATGCCAATCATATGCCTCTCTTATCCATAGATCTACTTACCAGTTATGGTATAGCAATCCCAAGGTGGTAAAAAAAAATGGTATCATGAAGTAGAGGGAAAAGACATGATCATCCCGATAATCACCTTTGGAGCAGAGTAAAAGGAAAGAAGTTAGTACCCACATTCCCCTATGCACCTGGTGTCTTCTGTGTCTAATTTATGTTCCCAGCCATTAGGAACACCTCACCCAAGTCACTTTCAAGACCAACTCTACCCTACCCTGCACTGACACTGGTTTCCAACTTTCCATTACAGGTATTTGCCACCATGCCCAGCTCTAACTTGCCCTTTCATGTCACCCAGGCAGTTCCCAATATTCTATTACTTCATTGCGCCCTCAAAAAACCCGAGTGACTGTCTTAAATGTGGTTTAGAAATTCCAGCTGGGGTTTGAATACCAGTTTTACTTCCTACCTGTGTGAATTTGAATATGATACACTGAATCTCTCTAAGCTTCCATTTTCTCATCTGTCAAACTGGATAATGCCCATTACACAGAGCCATCATTTGATTTAAACGAGATAATGCTTTAAAAGTGCTTAACCTTAGCTGGGGGCAGGGAAGGCACACATGCCTTTAATCTCAGCACTTGATCTCTGTGAGATCCAGGGCTACACGGTACAGTCCTGTCTCAAAACAAAACAAAGTGCTTAGTTTTAACAAGCACTTGTTGATGTCCACTAACTAAAGACAACCAGAAATATCTAATAGTTAAACTTGGGTTTACTAGAAACTAAGACTTCCAAAACCATTTACCACAGGGAACCATAAACCATCTCTCTGAAGGGCTTGTTTTGGGTAATTTGGAAGAGGAAGAAAGGAAGTAGAGACGTGCCCTAAACTGGGAGCTCTCAGAAGGCATGAGTAACTTATATATATAGGATCATGAGTTTGAGGCCAGCCAGGGTTACATAGCAAGAGTGTCTCAAAAAAGCTATACCCTCGCATGTTAACTGAGAGGGAATCCTGGTCATTTTTATATTGCTCAGTGTTCTGGGTTTGTCTGTTCTCAGACATGATTAGAAGGGAGGATCTCTTTTTTTGTTTGTTTTTGTTTTGTTTTGTTTTTGTCTTTTTCTACTGTGGTCAGAGGGTGACGCTTTCTGATGCTGGGGTTCTGTGAAACTATGTCCAATAGAAATTCTTGGTCTATCTATTCATGACACTCAAGCTATAAATGACAGTACTGCTGTTTTTCTTTCTCATGCTTAACTCCTTACAGCTGTTTGCAAAATAGCTTCCATTCTAAAGTTGCTTTTTTGTTGTCCCCTTCCCCCAGGAATTCTCTAAATCCACACCAAGCAATCCTCTTAACACACAGGTGTCTGTTTCTTCCTATCTCTAATTCCACCTACCTTCCAGCTCTACCAGGTTGAAGACAATGATAGAAGCAGAGATGACTAGTGACTGACCAGCCTCTAGGCCATTAATTCCTGCTAGGATGTTGATGGCATTGGTACAGAACACCGCAAGCAGTCCCATGTAGACATAGTATAGGATTCCTGGGGAAACAGAATCAGATAGTGCTACCTAGGGAAGGAGGTTTGCATCTTTTTTTGAGAAAAGAGCACAGGAGGAATGAAAGGATCTGAATAGGCAAGACCTAGTAGCACAGGTCTATAATTCCAACTACTTGAAAGGCTGGGATAAGAGGGTTACCAGTTTAAGGCCTGCCTGGGCTAAGAAAGTTCAAGGCAACTTAGTGTGTGACCCTGTTTTGAAAATTTTTGTTTTGTTTTCAAGACAGGGTTTCTCTGTGTAGCATCTCCAGCTGTCCTGGAACTCCCTCTGTAGATCAGGGTGGCCTTGTACTGAGATGCGCCTGACTTTGCCTCCCTAATGCTGAGACTAAAGGTATGCGACACCATACCCAGCCTGGAACTCCCTCTGTAGATCAGGGTGGCCTTGTACTGAGATGCGCCTGCCTTTGCCTCCCTAATGCTGAGACTAAAGGTGTGCGACACCATACCCAGCTTTGAATTTCTTTTTTTTTTTTTTTCTTTTTTTCTTTTTGGTTTTTCTCTGTGGCTTTGGAGGCTGTCCTGGAACTAGCTCTTGTAGACCAGGCTGGTCTCAAACTCACAGAGATCCGCCTGCCTCTGCCTCCCAAGTGCTGGGATTAAAGGCGTTTGACACCACTGCCCAGCCTTTGAATTTCTTAAAAATGATTATTTATGTATTTTATGTATATTGGTACTTTGCATGTACATCTGCACACCAGAAGAAGGCATCAGACAGTTGTGAGCTATCATGTGGGTACTGGGAATTGAACTCAGGATCTTTGGAAGAGAAGTGAGTGTTCTTGACTGAGCAATCTCCCCTGCCCTCCTGTTTTGAAATTTTTAGAAAATGGAAAAAATAGAAAGGAAAGGCTTTGGTATAGCTCAGAGTGCTTGTCTAGCAAGCATGAGGTCTTAGCTTCAATTCCTTGATACAGGAAGGAAAGAAAAGATAGGAAAGAAAGAGGGAAGGAAAAAGAGAAATCTGGGTTGATCCAGAGACAGAAAGGGAATACTTGATGGAGAATGTGGACCACCAGGAAGAGTGTTTTACTGGGATCTCAGAGGGAAGGGTACAAGTGGGTGCCACAGGGGCAATAGTGATAGGAATACTCACCCAAGTCCAAATGCAGGCCAAGAATCCAGCGGAAGGGCTTGGGTACCACAATGGTTGTATTGCCAAAGTTAGTGAAGTAAACCATGAGGAGAGGTAGAGAGGCAGCTGTGGGCAGCAGCAGCTTATGGCGCCAGCGCAGATTGAGTACATCATCAGCGAAGCCCAGGAAGATCATGCAGCAGATGGCAAGGAGGGCACCTATCAGGGCCACAAACTGGGGAAGGCTCAGGCAAGTTACGTCTCAAGCCTACTTACTAGTCTGCCTTTCAAGAATTCCTGCCTCCTATGTTTCCCTTTTCCCATCTTTTTATTTTGGAGTTGAGGATTGAACCCGTGGCTTTGGGCATACTAGGGAGGCTCTATCACTGAGTTATATATCACCAATCCAAGTACTCCTGTCTCTAGAGTTGGGCCCACAAGCACCCTCTGCCCAATCCAAATAACCCCAACTCAAGCAAGTCCCCGACCCCAGCCAACCGTTCCCACTAATGCACTTACTTCATGGTGGGGGAATGCCTTACACTGCTCCTCCACAAAGCAGTTCAGGAAGGGGAAAGGGATGAAGCAGAAGAGGATGATAAGGAAAACAGCACCGCAGATCACTCCCTGGGATTCTGGGCTGCGGCCCAGCAGCAAGGGGTGGAGGAGGAAGAGGAAAGGGGCGTGGTTACTCACTATTGTATGGGGTTACAATAACCCAAAGTGACTTTCTTCCCAGGATTTTGTTTTGTTTGTGAGGGAGTAGGGAGACTGTGCACAGGGAAGAGGATACTACCGCTATTAGTCCTGACACCCAAAGCTCCCATTTCGTCCTCCCCAGGATAGACAATTCTATCACCACCAAGAGTTCTGGGTTGCCTAGGTTAGCTCTCTCCCGCCAGCGCAAAGCCAAGCACCTCAGTCCTCGCCCCTGCACCCTGTACAACCTGGCACCCTACCCCAGCGCACTCATGTGCCGTTACTCACATCTGCTGCCGGCTGAGCTTGTTGAGGTCCTGGCCACAGAGGCGCGCGGCGATAAAGTGGCTACGGAAGGCAGGGATGAGGGTCACAGTAGCCACAAATCCCAGCAGCGAGCCGAACAAATTCACCAGCAGCGGCAGCGGCAACTCCGGGAAGGCCCACATGGTGACCCGCCAGGGGCCGCCGCTCCGCCGCCAACTGAGCTAACTAGCAACCCGGCACAATCCCAGAGGCCTCGGCAGTCGGTAGAGCCGCTTCCTACACGCAAGAGTATTCCGCGCCAGCAGGAACAAAACCCAACTATGACCTGACCCTCCCTCCTGACCTGCAAGAGGTTCTGTGAAGCAACCTCGGCTCTGCCCCGCTGCACCTACCCATTGTTTCCGCCCGGATCTTAATTGCAAAAGAACTATCGCTGCTGAAGACCGAGGCACCATTTTTAAAACGGGCACCAGAGCCGGACGAGTGGTGTTATTTTTAAACTAAACTTTTGTTGGAGAGGAGCGGCATCATTAGAGTTTTGGAAACTCAACCGAAGAAAAGATAAGTGGACACTCTCGGAACATCATATTGTACAGCTCAAAGAGTAAATACGCTTTGCCCAGTTCCAACATGAAGGCTTCCTTGTACCACGTGGCTGACTGACACAGCTTGTTCTGTGGTTCCACGTCGTCCCCTCGCAGGTCGGGCTTAAAGGGCTAGCAGCCTAAACTTAATCTGGGATGCCCCGGGGCTGAAAATATGGCACCGAAAGCCTTTGGTCAGGAGGGAAGAGAGTGTGGAACCACAACTGCTCTTTGCAGGAAAACTGTTGCCAAACAGCAGGAAGCCAAGGTAAACACACTGCTTCCAGAAACGCAGCCACAATTTGAAGGGATTTTTGTAAATTCGAAAGCTCAGACACTCGAAAAGCCCTTCCCATTTTTTTTTTTTTCTTGTTCTCGATCCAGGTACTTTCCCCTCAACAGCCCACCCACCTTCTGCCTCCACTATAGCAGTTTGTTGCTGGGCAACCCACGTCTCCATTTCGCCAGTGAGGGAGCTGTTTGTGCTTTTGGGTATTGGATTGAAACAGGGACTTTAACTTGGTGTTTGATCACAGCATTGTGCCAAGCTCTCAAAACACAGAGACAAACTGAGGCTTTTTTTTTTTTTTCTTGTTCTCGATCCAGGTACTTTCCCCTCAACAGCCCACCCACCTTCTGCCTCCACTATAGCAGTTTGTTGCTGGGCAACCCACGGCTGCATTTCGCCAGTGAGGGAGCTGTTTGTGCTTTTGGGTATTGGATTGAAACAGGGACTTTAACTTGGTGTTTGATCACAGCATTCTTGGTAGCTCTCAAAACACAGAGACAAACTGAGGCTTTGAAAAGAGCTAACCAGGCAGGAGAGGTTAACCACACCTCCGTTGAGCCTGTGGGTCTACAATCAGGTTTCTGCCTCCAAGTCACTTGCCTTTGGACATCTGTTCTGCAGTAGCAGTTCACTGAAACATTGATCTCTTAGGTGGCAAATGTTTTTCATTCCTCAGAGAGGAGTCCACCACAGAGAATTGGTGACAATAGCATGGCATTTTGAGTTGACAATAGCAAGGTATTTTGTCCATTCCTTTTAAATGTAGCATACTCCTAGAGTCAGGGTGAGGGTGACACTTTTTAGGTCAAAGATAATCTTTCTTTTTCCTCAAAACCAGGTATGAAATTTCCCTTCTACTTGAGAATAGCTCTTGGTCTCTCTCTCATACATACGTAAATACATACAAATTTACTCAACAGTATACTAAAGTTTGTTTTTCTGTGTGTGTACACATTCAAGCAAACACCAGGGAGGCAAATGTTTCTCCTTCTGCTGTTGTCCCCTGAGGGTTAGGACACAAAGATATCTATGTTCCAGGCATCGTCGAGCATGGTGATTGAGTCTAGAGAAGATATAAAGAACAATAGGAGTATACAGAAGTGAGAGGGTCCTGGGGGGTATTATCTTATAATATTTCTGTAGTGAAAGGGTAAGGGTCTTCCAAACAGGGAGAGAGATACATGGAGCAGGTGGGAAGGCGGGGCTTGTAAGATCCCCAAGAGGAGGGAGCATTCAGCTATCTTGTTGATCAGGAGTAGGCTGAGACTCCCTGGAGGTGTGAGGAACAGTCTGTGTCTTTTATTATTATTATGTTTATTTGGAGGCCAGTCCTAATAAATCTTTTCCAATCTGGCTTAAGCCCTAAAGTCTCTTTGTGTCCAGAAATCAGTTACCCACCACCCACCTGGAAGGGTGAGAGGACTTATCTAAAGACACAGCACTAGGGATTCATCAGCGCATGTACATGTTACATCACAAGTGATTACTTGAATACTTGTCATATAATCTGAATAATTTCGCTCCCATGATGGTAGCACTCCCTTGATTAACAGAGAAAGAAACAAATGCATGGCTCACTTGAAATTTGTGTCTCTCCTGGTAATAGTCTAAACATGTGTACGAATCCTGAAGAGTCAGTCATCAGTCATCACTGGGACTCACAGATCTGCTGAGTTGCGATTGTCCCTGTGCTGAGCAGACAGCACACATCTACCAAGCAGCTGAGTGCCTCCCAGTAAGCAAGGCCAACCTACTATTAAATCAATCCACTGACAAAGCCTAGCTCAGAAATGTTTCTCCTTGTGTGAAAAGACCACCTGAGCTCTGCAAAGCCTGGGGCTCTGAAACTTGCAGGACCTGCCCGTGGCCCTGACCTTTTCTCCCTACCTTTCTCCTTTCACTCTAGTTAGCAAAACTCATCAACTGGAAGTAAAACCCAACATCTCCTGGGCCGAAATGGATTTTTAAAAAGAGGAAATAATGTAGAAATTCTTAGAGTCCACTCAGCTGGTCTAGAACTCACTGTGTAGAGCAGCTTGACCTTGAACTTGTGGCAATCCTCCTATGTCTCCCTCTGGAATGCTGGTATTATACATGCCATCACATCCAGCTTAGAGTTCTGGTTCTTAAACTTGAGTGACAATAGGAATTCTAGAGGTTGGGAAAGATGCTGAAGCACACTTCTGAACAGGGCAGACATTCCTAATACTACTACAAATAAAGGAAGGAAAGTATGGATTCAAATGATAGCCCTTTCCTCTTTAAAGAGCTCCAACAAATTGAATACTAACAAAGGTCAATCTGAAATCTAAAATGAGTGGTAATCATCAACTTAGTTTTATGCTGCTCATGGCATTTGGTCTTAGTGTTCCCTTTGTAGTAAGATATCTTCTCTTCTCTAATTTTTGTTTTATTTGAGACTGGTTCTTGATATGTAGCCTAGATTGGTCATGAACTCAGAATCTCCTGCCACTACCTCCCATGTGCATGCTGAGATTATAGGTATGAGCCACCATGCCCTGTCCAAGTGAAGCTAGCCTCGGAGGCTGAGTCTCAGCCACTGAAGTACCACTTATGGTAGGTCACCTTGATAGAACCTTTGTTCCCCACTTTTTGCAGTGCTGGGGAAGGAACCCACAGTCTTATGCATGTTAGGCCAGCCTCTTATCACTGAGCTGTACTCCAAACCTTACTGAATTATTTTCTGTTAAGACATTTTAAGACAGGGTCTTACATATCCAGGCTTGACTTGAATTTACTAAGTAGTCCATATTGCCAGCCCGGCCTTGAACTTCTGATCTTTCTACCTTGCTTCCACCTCCTGAAGGTTGAGTCACAATTGTGTGCCACCATGCCCAGTTTATGTGGTGCTGAGGTCTGAACTCAAGGCTTTGTGCATGCTAATCTAGCACTTTACCAGCTGAGCTAGACTTGTAGTTCCTTGATAACTGAGATGGGGGCATGGTGGTTGCACCCTTTTAACCCTAGCACTCAAGATGCAGAGGCAGGAGGACCTCTATGAGTTTAAGGGCAGCCTGATCTACATAGGGAGTTCCAAGCCAGCCAGGACTACATAACACAGCAACAAAAATGACAGCTGGTGCTGGGCAGTGGGGACACACACCTTTAATCCCAGCACCTGGGAGGTAGAGGCAGAGGGATCTCTGTGAGTTCAAGGCCAGCCTGCTCTACATTAAAGTTCCAGGACAGGGTCCAAAGACACACAGAAAAACCCTGTCTTTAAAAACAAAAACAAAAACACACAAAAAATACAACTGGCAAATGTCTATGGCATAAGAAACTCCTAAGTGCTATAGGGAATACAGTGATAAAAAATGCAGTTGCTGCCTTCAAAGACTACTTCAGCATAATTAAGATACATTCATTGAGTATGAGGGAAGAGAAATGAGTATGACATCATTTCTATTCTGAGTTTCCTAATGAGTAAAACAAAGCACTCATATAAGCACCCAGCTAAACCATAAAGCAAAATGAAATAAGCACTCAAAGGCTAAGTAATAGGTGGAAGGGAGATGTGGAAACCAGGAAGATCACACAAGACAATTTTGAAACAGGATCTGGCAACATGTACCAGATCTCAATATAGATGGTTGTTAGCCATCATGTGGGTGCTGGGAATTGAACTCAGGCCCTCGGGAAGAGCAGCCAGTGCTCTTAACCTCTGAGCCATCTCTCCAGCCCCTGAAAACTTTTTTTTTTTGAGACAAGGTGTTAATGCACAGTTTTAACTGATCTAGAACTTACTATGTAGACCAGGCTGGCCTCCAAGTAATAGATATCAGCCTGCCTCTGCCCCCCATGCCCAGTTTGGGGACTAAAGGCATATGCCACCATGCCCAGCTTCCCTATATATCCCAGGCTGGCCTTGAATTCACTATCCTTCCTCAGCCTCCAGGGTGTTGGGCTTACAGGTGAGCCACTACTCATCACTAGATTGCTAGAGAATAGAGTTCTTGGGAGCTCCAAATATTCCCGAAGAAGAATTCTTCATGGAAAACGACCTTGCATTTCAACAGTTTCTCACATTGCTTACTTCCCTGAACATGACTCTTCTTCTCACTGATTCCTTCCTCCTAGGTTATGGTCCAAAGTTATGTGCACCATTGATTCCATATCTTCTACTCTTAGATTAAAGACTGGGACTGTAGGGGTCGCCATTGGTTTTGGGGTTCACGGTGTAGGTCAGGCTCAAAGCAAATTTGCCTTATCATCTCACCTCTGCCCATCGTTCCTTACAGTGAAATCAGGGATGCTTCAAGCTACGTAACCTTTCCTCTTCTAGATCAGAAAGCTCTGTTGCTGACAGTGTTCTACCTAGCCCTACAACTCTCAACCATGTAAAGCATTATTTACTCTTAGAGGCTTTCTCCTTAGACAAATAGATTTGAAAGATATTTAACATCTTCTCATCCTGTCTTGACTGTAGAAGGGATTGTATCAAAGACCTCACCATATGTCATGAAGAGTTCCTCTGAGTCTTTTTTGTTTTTGTTTTTCAAGACAGGATTTCTCTGTGTAGCATGGCTATTGCTGGAGGTTCTTGTCCTGTCAGGTCCTGCTGCTCTTCTCAGCCCCAAATAAACACACAGAGACACTATATTAATTATTAAACTGCTGGCCGATGACTAGGGCTTCTTATTGCCTAGCTCTCTCTTAATTATTAACCCATAACTACTAATCTATG